TGTGTTTGCATGGTTGTGTGTCTTTTTGTTGGGTGGAGACCGGCCCCACGGCAACTCTAACTGAATAAATGGGAGAAGATGGATTAAACCAGCAAACTGAAAAAAAAAATAAAAAATGTTGGTTTGGGGCTCTAAGCCGCAGCTTATGCCACTTTTGCCTTCGGCTGGACTATTGCACTACTTCCAAAACTGCTTGGCATATTCCAGTAGGTTTTGGAAGTTTTTCATGGGTGTAACCCGCATACTTGGCTCTGCAGTTACACCCACTACTGCTTTTTACTGACAAATGTGCAACAATTATGCTATTAAAAAGTTACATGCAATAGAATAAAACAAAATAAATTGTCCTTTATTGCTCTGAAGTGAGGAATTTAAGTTGTATCAGTACCAGACACAAGCAAGGAAAGAGTTTACAACAGAAAAAAAATACAGTAGTTTTCCAAAATGGCAGACGGATTAAATGACAACTGAGTGTAGTGATTTTGAAAGGTCACAAAATGTACATCGTGTATAAAAAAAGCAATAGATTATCTTTGAAAAGGCAAATAACTGCATATATAATGACCTAAGTTTATAAATACCTAGACTACAATAAAAACACATGGTTTTATACTCAGCAGTTTATTTATATGCTTGTTTTCAACAGGACTCTCTGAACCCGGCTGACTGGATGAACCATTATTCATAGTAATGTAAATAAATGTAAAGCATAAAGATTCTGTAGACACTTTCTCAACATTTTTTTTTTGTCTCCGGCTTAAAAATGGCTCTGTGACTACTCCTACAGTGCTTAGAGAATGAAATCTATTTATAAAACTTTAACAAGAGCACTGATGTCAGGCTAAAGTAATAATTCATACTAGTAGATCTAACTACTGCAGCACCACCTGTCCCAACCATCAGGAAAACAATTCAGTATTATTGCATCAGAAACCGAGGTGGGTAGTAAGTAGTTATATTTACTCAGTTACATTTACTTGAGAAACTTACTTGAGTAGTTTTAAAGCGTTGCACTTTTTACTTTTGCATAAGTAAAAATATAATAAACTTTCACTACTCTTATTTGAGTAAAATGTCTGGCTGCTCCCCCCATTGTGTTTTAAATAAATCTGCACCATTAAGAGAAATACTTTCTTCCTTTTTGTAATCATGGCTTATTGGTTAAATGCTTTTTATACTGCAATTTAACCTGTTCTTACATACTATAAGTATTGATTTTCCAAATTTCATAAATAAAAATGTACTTTGAAGAGTGTTTGTTCCACCTAATTTGTTTGTGTGTGTAATCACTGTATGTTATGTTTACTTTTATGCTTTGAACACCAGAAATTGTATATCAATTGATAATTTGTTAAATTTTACATAATTTTGTAAAGTATTAATTCAATTGTTATGGTCTTGGTTAGTAAGGAGATCATTTGCCTAGTATTTGAGGAGCCTTTTAACCAAACACTTTTTTACTGTAACTTGAGTAATGTAAGCTTTGGATACTCTGCCCACCTCTGATCAGAAACTAATAGACTGAAGAAAAGTTTGTTTCCCAAAGTTGAAAAGGTGATCACCTCCCTGCTGGCAATAACTAAACATCCCTTCTAAAAAATCCACTACACCTCCAGCCCATTTCAGCACAAACTGCACTTTCTTTAAATACTGCATGTTACAGTTCATCAACATTTGTTCTTGTGTTACATTTTCAGTTTTCTCTGATGTAATTAAAGTGTTATTAATGTATTTCTGTGTATTGCATGTGTATGTAAAGGTGGTTTCTCCCAGAAAACTGTTACGATTGCATCAAAATGACGATATAAACTCTTGATTCAGCTATGGGAGCATAAGGATCAGATCAGCACAGGTTTAGGGTCTTGGGGCAGGGTGGGTCAGAGAGACAGAGAGAGGGGTGTAAGTACAAACCCTAAGCTTTGTTGTTGCTGTGATGTCACAGCAATAGTTACACTCTTAGCTTCTTGCTAATGCAGTTAAGTCTCCAAGCATGAATGTTTACTCCATTGTTGACTTCAGATCTTAGTCTCCAACAGAAATTGATCGCGCTGCTTCCTCCTCACTCTTGTTTGTTCCATCAGCACTTTTGAAAACAGTCGTCATATTCATGCAGCATCAGCTACGGTCACCTAACCTGACAACAGCCAGATGCATGTCTCGCTCCGCCCAGCTCCACTCACATACATCTGGGAACCCGCTCATTGAAAGTGATTTCCCCAACCGAATTTATGGTCTGTCCAATCAGGACGCAGGGTGGGTGTGTCCTGGAGTGGAGAAGCGACCATGAGATTCCAACAACAATGGCGGCTCGCATTGAGGAAGCAAGCGTTAGCATTGAAGCTGCTATTTCTTCTGTGTTGTCCAATCTGTCTGATATTGTTTCATCAAAAGAACATCAGAGAACGGCTTTGAAGGCTTTTGTTGGTGGAAACGATGTTTTCGCCCTTCTCCCGACCGGATTTGGCAAGAGCTTGATCTACCAAATGGCTCCTCCTCTCACAGCATCACGGGTTAGCTTCAGTGTGAGTGGTTAAAATAGCACGTCAATAAAGATGACAGACAAGTGGCTTATCCAATCATATGCAAGGAGTTTTGATAAGGCCCAGCCTTCAGTAAAGGCAATTCCTATGACGGGTTCCCAGATGTATGTGAGCGGAGCTAGGCGGAGCGAGACATGCATCTGGCTGTTGTCAGGTTAACGGTCACCACGGCAGCCTTAACGACCCGCCCCCTGCCTTCGCTTTTTGTTTGGATTGGTTGAATTGTGTGTTTGACAGATCAGAGATAGGAATGATAAAAGTTGGCCACTCTGGAGTGAACACTTTCTTACAGTGTATAAAACGTTAAGCATTTTCTCTCAGTGAGGAAAAGGGATGGCAACAGAAGAGCTACCTGAGACTGTTGTAAGTCAACTAAAAGACACATTTTTTTCAGGTTTTTTTTTGTCTAGATGTTCTTGTTTGACCTTGAAAGCCCAAGACAGATTATGCTGGTATCAGTGAGCATCTCCTTAGCTTTAACGTTTCCATTTTCTGGTATTTTAGAGTCATCATCTAGATATATCAGTACATATATCAGATATATCAGTGATGTTACAAGTCTCACTAAAACTCATGTTTCCGCTCTATTAAATGTTTAAACTATTATTGATTTTTTTTTTCTTTCGAATATGAAATAGAATAAACAGTGGCTTCCTGTATGCTGCATGCATCAGTTGTTTTGATGTATTTCTTCACTTGTGGCTGATTTTTTTCCTAAAAGTTTGGGATGGTCGTTTTGCTAATTTACTAATCTGAAAAAGAGGAAATAACAGTAAATTAGATAAGTAAATCCTGAGAGTAGTGCTCTCTGGTGTGACCTGTGCTGCTGCCATCACACCTTTGTTTAAAGATGTTTGAGCCCTGCCTGTTTTTCAGTATTGTCCTGTTTCTCTGACTGTGACTGGCTGGATGTGCTCTCTTAATCCTCTGACATGGGAGCTGGCTCGGAGCTCGTCTGCCTGGCTGTGTGTTTACTGGATGGGGCCGCTTGTGGAGTTTGTCTACAGTTGCCTTTTGTATCTCCATTTCTTTCTGTATGTCTGCTTCAGTCTCCTTGAACCCCAGTCTGCCTCGGCAGATGGCCGCTCACACCGAGCCTGGTTCTGCTGGAGGTTTCTTCCTGTTAAAAGAGAGTTTTTCCTCTCCACTGTCGCTACAAGCATGCTTAGTGTGAGGTATTGCCTTGGAGTGAATGAATCGATACAATCAACTGGTTTTCCTCAGATAGAGAACTTTGAATCAATTTTACTGTATGATCTGGTTGAATTGTAAAGTGCCTTGAGATGACATGTGTTGTGAATTTGGCGCTATATAAATAAACTGAATTGAATTGAACCTGGTCATTTCAAAATGATGAGAAGGTAAAAACAATTAAAGGGAATTGTTTACAGGAATTTGTTAGATCCAGTGTAAATGATTTATTTTCTAATATTTAGCAAAAATATTGAAGCACAGAGAAATGAATCATTCTGAAAATTTTCAGCCAGACTCGTTGGTCAGAAAAGGAAAAAATCCAATATTTTTTCATCTGTAAATGCACCCTAATAAAATCTTACCCTGGGGCTTTCTAGCGTTGACTCTTCAAAGTCTATCAGGGCCACTGTGAACTAGAGGTGGGTATTGCCAAAGAAGTCACGATTCGATTCGAATCACGATTCACAGGCCACGATGCGATTCTATCACGATGCATCACGATACTTGAATTATTGCGATGCATTGCAATATTTTCTCCTCCATGTTTTGTTTTTGAATGACTCGGCACAGTATCCCACGGCCGGAAATGCTTGTGACACAAGGCAGCGTGCGTCAACACATTTGCAGCGACATCTACTGGACTGGAAGTGGTATTGCACTTGTTTTTGGCTGATGTTCGCCAACCATTCATGCAATTTTATTTATTCATTTTTTAAAATTAATAATCGATTCTTGGCATCAAGAATCGATGCAGTAGATCACGAAAATTAGAATCACGATGCATCATCATCACGATTATTTTGCACACCCCTACTGTGAACACACCAAAGGGTGAGAGGGAGACTTTTGTGTTATATATCATTAGATAGTATGATTAGTCTGTTAACTATGCTGACTTCAATGTCATGTGTTGCGCTACACATGGAATACAAGCCTAATATTAAAAACAGTTAGTTTGCTGAAACACATCCAGGTAACCTCCTGAAGCCAGAATTTTTCAGCTGCTTTTTCACCAATTCGACATAATGTCCCCAAATCAGATACAAATTGATGTTATGCATCTTGACAGCTACTTTCTGTTCCCCGAGTGGTATGAAACAGCAAAGGTATGGTGAAAATGGTGAAGGAGGAATTTTAATTTTCAGGCTCTGACCAGTCCAAACATTGGCCATAAAAATTAGGGCTGAAAATCTGTAGGTTGTGTCTAATGCTTAATTATTTGATGAAGTTCTTTAACTCTGACTGTTTTTGTTTGTCTCCATTCAGGATCACAGGACCTCCAGAGTAAAGAGACTGTTTCCTGTGCAGTCATGTGACTGACCTGGCTCTTTCATTTTAAGGTGGGATCTCCCCTTCGCATGCTGACTAGCCCTGGATGCCCCATTCTCGCCATGAGAGGTCTCACCACCCTGCCCTCATACTGGCGCTGCCACTGTGCCGCATGAGCGCCCCCTTCCCCTCCGGCAGTTACTGCACGGAATGGCCTCTCTGGACCTGCCATACCGCTGTCCTCGCTGCGGGGAGCACAAGCGCTTCCGAAGCCTTTCATCCTTACGAGCCCACTTGGAATACAACCACACATATGAAACCCTTTATGTCCTCTCCAAATCCAACAGTGTATGTGACGCTGCTGCTCTGCTGCCCCTAGTGGCTGAGGGAGCTCTCCTCACACCTGCCAACAACAACGACCCTTTCGAACCGCTTCGGCCTTCAGCTCTAAAGGAGCGGCACTTTCCCTGCAGGGAGCTTCCCTGCGCAGACGACCTCAGCCTGACGCCTGCTAACTCCAACTCTGCAGCCAGGTACATTCCAAATGTGGAGTTCCCCCTGGGGGAGATCTTTATGAAGAAAGCAATGACATCCACAGACCCGGGTACCCATGGAAACCCCAGCACAGCTGTGGCTGTGGCTGCAAATGTGGCAGCTAGTGCCGTAGAGGCAGCTTATGAGGAGGGCCTGGCCAGGCTAAAGGCGCGGGCGTTTGAGCGGCTGGAACTGGACGAGAGGCTCGAGAAGCTATCAGAGGAGGTAAGTGGGATTGCCACTGCTATCAGAATAAACTTTATCAGCGGGAGATGTATTAAAAGCCTCACTCTGGTGGCCTTGCACTTGATCAGAGTGCAAGTCTGATTTCTGGAGGGGGTAATTGCATAGTGCAGAAGCAATCAAGGAAAATACTTATCCCCTTCCTCCTTAGACTGGACATTAAACCATCAATGACACTTGTCTTGACACGCTTCTGCTTTTAAAGAACCTTGAGCTCAGCAGCAGAGAGAACTAATGAGCTCATTAGAGCCACAGTTATACAGGTGGCAAACTTAGACCAGCTTATGTTACCTGTAAGAGGCATAGACTCGCTAAACCTTTAATCAAAAAGGTGGTTTCATAAATAAATTAAATATGTAAGAAGAATTTAGTTAGCACGCAGCATCAGCTAATGCAGCTAGAAACCACCAATCAGATTTGAAATCTGGGTGTAATGTTAGACGCAAGATTTAAACCTTTAGAGGTACATAAAATTAATATATTACCTAAAGAACATCTCAAGGATGAAAGGATTAATATCTTGGCAGGATCTTGGAAAAACTATTTCATGTTTTCATCTTTTATAAAACTGCTACAGTGTCAAAAAAGTTGATAAGACAGCTGCAGCTAACCCAGAATGCTGCTGCCCACGTCCTCACCAAAACTAAAAAAAGTGGAGCACATCAGCCAGTTTTAGTCCCAGTCACTAAGTGAATATACTTAAAAATAAGTATGTTATTCTATAAATCACTGAATGGCTTAGCTCAAAAACACATTACAGACTTGCTGTCAGTGTATCTACTGGGCATACACTGTATGATTATTAAAATCATTGTACTAAGCTACAGGGCAAACTGTATGATGTAATAGCAGGGTTTAAAAGTTCACAACTGACGATGCATGTTCTTACTGCCCGACACTCTGATTCGATCGAACTGCTCTCACTGTATATCTAAAAACCACATGTCGACCTCGGCGCCGAGAGATGGCACTGGTTGCCTCTTAACCCACTGTACACTAGACGACGCGGGACGCATGATGAAGCTGAAACTCAGCCCGATCCAAAAAAAATCTTGCACGACTGTACAAAAACTAGTACAGTGTATGCCCGCCTTAAAGTCTTCTTGCTCTAATTTACTTTACGTACCTAGAACCAAAACCAAACATGGAGAAGCAGCTTTTAGTTCTTATGCTCCTAATCTAAGCATAAGAATCTAATCTGAAATAAACTCACAGAAAACTGTAAAAGAGCTGAAACCCTACCTTGCTTTAAATCGAGATTTACTATTAGTATAGCAGGACAGTCTGCAGTTGAGGATTTTATTTTTTCGACTTCCTGTTGTGTTTATCTTTAGTGCACAACCTTGAAAGACTCTGGCTTAAAGCTTTTTGTAATATGTAAACAGCCACAAAGTTAGAATGTATGTGCTAGATCAAGAAACAGTGAAAGAAAAGAGTTGGTGAGATGATTTGCAAATACAAATCTTAAAAGTCTGATTTTGAGTTAGATCCTGTGTGGAATCGTATAGAAGTGTATAGACTTCTATACTTTATAGAAGTATTTTTACACCTTTACAGATCCCCAATGTTGAACACCTCTGATCTAAACGGTTTAATATTAGCTCTATGTTTAGAGTTTCTGACCTACTGGTGGCTGAACTTCTGCCATGGTCTCAAGTGTTCTGTTCTCACTGGCAGCAACCCAGTCTGCTTAACTGGGAGTACGTCGCTAGGGCTGCAGGCTTAGCAGAGAGGGCCAGACTTCCCTTTACCACATACCTCCTTCAGCTCCTCTGAGGGAAGCCCAAGGCTCTCCATGACCAACCAGGAGTTGTACTCTCTCCAGTGTGCTCTGGGCTGCCCCCAGGGCCTCCTTCCAACTGGGCATGCCTTAAACTGATGGAGGCATTTAGGTGATGTGTTTTGCAGCCTTTAAATGATTTCTTTCAGACATGTCATCTATTTAGCTTCAGTAATCTCTATTGATCCTGACCAGCTTTCTTTTTTTGTTTCTGCAGAAACACATCCCCAAAACATAATACAGTTTTGATCATAACAGACAAGAGGTTCTTTGTTCAAATCTTTGCTGTGTTCCCTACCAGGCTGGTGGAAACAGGGCTTCTTATGGTTTGCTTTCAATGTTCCCTTTTTTCCCACTCACACATTAAGAGTGGTAGATTTCTGGATTGTTTGACCAATGGTTGTCCTGAAGCCTGTTTCACAAAGCAGGTTTAACAAACTCAGACTCAAATCCTCAACTCTGAACCGATCTAGGATAAGGTTGAAACTGAGTTTTTGGTTTCATAAAAGTTGCTGTGAGTTAGTTGAATGAGTAGTTTCACTCAGAGTAAAGCAGGTACGTAACAAGTATGAAAACCTATCATTAGCGGAACACCGATTGAACTAGTCATCATGATGACAACAGAAAGTTACTATTTTACACCACTGGAGCTACAGATTATAAATCAGAAATGATAAAGAAAATTTGAGAAAGTGTTTAAAAGAAAGAGCAACAGCACCACAGCTGCAAAGGAGAGGGATCTGGAGGTGGAGAAGATTGCTTAATATGATTAAGGTTAATATGAAGTGTTCTATGGCAGGCTGTTTTAATATATATAGGCACTCCCCTCTGTTACATTTGTAGATCACTAAAATATAATTCTTAGTGGTCAAAATCATATTCCTAGTCAAAACTGTAATAAGAGATTTTTTAATTACACTTTGTCAGCTGATACTGAATTTCAGAAAGTGAAAAAAACAAAATTGTAAAACTTAAATTGTATATACTGTACCTAGAAATGTTTTCACATTTTAAGTGGTCATTTGACTTTTATCAGCTTGACTGAAAATATATTTATGACATCTAAAATACATTTATCTCTGTTCAAATACAAATTATTTTCATTATCAATAGGAATATGGAAATATGAAATAAAATTTTAAATATTAAGAATGTTCATTTTGGGTATGAAGATTTGTTTGAAATGTTCATTTCAGCAAGGAACAAAATCATTTCAGATATCAAAAGCACCTATTCAGACAAAATAATAAATATCGAAGATGCCATTGGGTGTTTTAATCCCAATAGCATTAAGGGAGAAAACTACTTTACTGCTTGAATGATAGTGGATCAATGCATCTATTTAGATGCAATCACCTCTCAGCAGTTGAAGATGAAGTATAACAACGTTGTTCTAACAGGCAGGACCTGTGCATCATTTTATGGGATTCCTCTTCATTTCGATCCTGTCTTCCATTACACCAGAGCCTCTTTCCCACTGAAATTAGCAGGTTAACGCTTGTTTTTCAAACACGCTTCGACCTGCTAAGAATCGGCATTTGGCTGCCTTCCCATTGGCAAAACGAAGTTGGGTCTAACCCCTAACTGGCAAGCTGTGTGGCTTCTGTCCCTCTGCCGCTGGGTGTCTAGTAACACCATCACCCAGGGTTGGCATTGATGCTGTCACCTATGTGACAGAAATCAGGAAAGTAAACAATAGAGAGCAACATGTAAGTGTGCTTTATTGTTTCGCTCTTTTATCTGTCCGATTCACTCTTACCACTGCTGCGCCATGTATAATTAATATAAAAACAGACTTTTTTGGCGGGTTAGATCAGACGCAATTGTTGTGTTGTGTTGACATCTGTACAGTATGTTGCGTTCAATGGTATGGCATAAATTAGCAGGTAAACCCAGGTCACAGCATGCTGATCAGAGCTGAGGCGATTTAAACATGGGTCGTTTGTCAAGTTGTTTGACCCGGGTAGACGCACGTTAGTGAGCTTTTCCCACTGCCACTAAAAGTCAGTTGTTCCCAGACTTAAACAGGTTTTTAGGCCAGTTAGAAAGGTTCTCTTAAATACGTGCTAAAGAAGTGTGTGTAATAGTCCAAATGTGAGGACTGATATAAGGTCTGATGGATTGTGACCTGAAACGGCTCATAAAGATAATTTTCTGAATATGAAGGTCCATCTATACGTGGTCTGAGAACCCTCTCCCTATAGATATTTAATTCACTGCAAACTAATGCCGCTCATTCTTTAATAAGATCCTCATCAAAAGGACCAGCTATGGTTGTGTTTTTTAACACTTAAAGTCTCTAACGTACCTGGTGAAGGATTTTCTTTTTATTATTCGCACCAAACTACGACAGAAATGACTGACTAATTCATCAAATAAAACATGTTTGGCTTTAAGGAGAGTGAAGATAGAGGACACTCTGAGTATATTGAGAAAAACCTGCTCCCAACAGTTTAAGCTCTGGGGAGAATGTTACTACGGTAACAAAAACAAAGGTTGCGTGAACTCTCTTCTCGAAACAGAAAATTTAGATTTTGCCTGATTTCAGGTTTAAAAAACATTCAGTTTTCAATAAAGCTGCTTATTGAAACGGGCCACTGGTAACAGATTCATCCACCAGCTGCTCCTTTTCCAGAGTTACCAGAAGCTTTTTTGCCAAGTCAGCTCATGAATCCCCTCCTTGCTCAGCTTCTTTCAGTTTAGGTGACATATCAAGTTTTGCTAGATTTGCAATTATACCATCAATTTCTTGTATACTATATCTCTTGTAACTGTATGATGTAATAGCAGGGTTTAAAAGTTCACAACTGACGATGCATGTTCTTACTGCCCGACACTCTGATGCGATCTAACTGCTCACACTGTATATCCAAAAACCACATGTTGACCTCGGCGACGAGAGATGGCACTGATTGGACACGTCAGTGTAGAAAAAGAACTGGACTCATTACTTCTTTGCACATGCGCAGTTCCTAGGGTTCTGGTAAATTGGCTCGTAGATTCTCTTAGCTCTGCTTCAACAGCAGGATTTGCCCATGAAACTGGCCGCTGGTAACAAATTCATCCACCAGCTGCTCCTTTTCCAGAGTTACCAGAAGCTTTTTTGCCAAGTCGTCTCATGAATCCCCTCCTTGCTCAGCTTCTTTCAGTTTACAGTAGGTGACATATCTGAGTGCTCTATGACATGTTTCAAGCTTGGGGTATTGTATTTTGAATCCGTCCTAAATGAGGTATTTTATGCACATCATATTATTTGGAAACAGATATTTGACTATTTAAGTCAAAGTAATGTCAGTAAAAATGTGTAATAGATTCAATATTTGTGAGACATTTATATACTTTTTGTGAACTTGTGGTAATTACTTTGCATTAGTTTGTTTGCATGTTGTAGAGGTCCATTCAGTATAGAGATGACATTATATATCTCAAATCGTTGGTCTTCTGGTTCTGTAGGTGGAGCAGAAAATAGCGGCCCGTGTAGGCCGTCTTCAAGCAGAGCTGGAGAGGAAGAGCTCTGAGCTGGAGCGGGCCAAGCAGGAGAGCGAGCGGCTGAGCCAGGAGAAACAGGACCTGGAGGACAAGGCCTCCGAGCTGTCTCGGCAGGTGGATGTCTCTGTGGAAATGCTGGCCAACCTCAAACAGGACCTGGTAAACAAAGAGGCGGAGCTAAACCACAAACAGCAGTAAGAGAACTTTTGGCTTCCTAAGATTTATTATACGGCTACAACAAAGTGAGTTTGCTTGGTGCAGTTTTAAGCATAATTCTCAAAATTTTATATGAATTACACCGAATAGAAAAAAAAGTTTTAATAACAGGTGGACAAAGTGGCCCCTTGTGGCAAATGATCATTAACATTAATGCGAGTTTCAAGTTGTGTGGGCGAGCCTCTGATTAACAAATGCAGCTGCTACCTGCTCATTTCAAATGAAGACTAACGCTGACTCCCGCTGCCCAAATTAGTGCACAGACACAAACAAGTGGAACTGCTAATAACCAGGAGCTTGTAATTTACCAACAACACACGTTTCCTCTTGTTACAACACAGCCTATGGAAACACTGTGACTGTATTTATTATTACAACTTTCTTAAAGGCAGCTTATGTGACTCTAGATAATCCTGCAGTGCTTAACTCACAGCTTCCTTCTTCATGGCCACTTAAAACCAATCCACCTTCCACAAACCAATTAAGGTGTTTTTTCCTCATTTTAATATGCATTTTTATATTTGTAAAACAAACACTGCTTGGTTTAGGGTTAATATAGATCCCAGTTACAATTATACACGAATATTTATAAAGGTTTTATGATCTGATCAGAAAATGATAAATTGTCAAACAGAAAAAAAAAGGACTTCAGATAAACAACAAAAAAATTATTACACGTTATCCTGAGGTTCACTGGGGATCAGAAGGGTCAATGAGAAATTTTAGATAATATAAAAAACATATCCAGTTCTACAAGGGACATTAGAGACAGGCAAATAAATAATATTTCACAACTATCTGCAGTCATTGTGACCATAAAACAAGGCAATGACAAGACAATATAGAGATTCTGTGCACTTGTAAATAGATTGGGGATATTATTTGGGACATGTAGCGGCACACGACAGTCACTTAAAATTAAACCAAATCAAGAAACACAATGACTGAGCTTAAATATTGTGACATGTCTATAAAAAAAAGTGTTGCATCTATCGGTCATATCCTAGTGTTCTACAAGATCAGGTGCTGATTGGATGGATTGGTTAAAGCAGCCGGGCAGGTAGCAGTTAGCTCATCACACACATCCTGCCAGTGTCTTCGTAAAGCTGCCAAGCTGCTCCATGAAAGTAGTGCTCTGTAAATAGACTTGGACATAAATCCTGAATCAGGAAGCAAGTTGAACATGATTTGGAGCTCTCTGGCACAAAAAGTGAGAGCTGAAAGGTTTTCAGAGCTGTTATTAAAATTAGTCCCAGACGGTTTCCAGACACAGGTATTATTTTTAGTTTGAAGCTGTAAGCTGTGTAAAAATGTTTTCACTGCAGGACCCAATAGGCTCACACATATGACCTAGTTTTTTGATATGTGACTTGAAAAATATTAGGATGAACCACTAATAACAGTGATTCAAATAAAAATACAATAGGCAGTTTCCACGGCTTTAATAGCCTAACCAGACATCCATTAAAAACAGGGAGACACAGTTTACCCACCCTGGTAAAGGGCTACACTTGGGTGAAAATAAACAACAACAAAAAGCCCAGGGCTGCTGCACTACTCCTGGGAGATTGTCTTTAATAAAACTAAATTTTTTATGCAATCACATTAAATGAAACTCTTAAAATGAAACACATTAGTTTTCAAAGACGAGCAGACATTTCAGAAAGCAGCAGGACAGAACTAAGAAGTGTGTGAAAAGAATTATGACAGCAAGGAGATAAAAACTTATTCCTTTGGACATTTATTTTGCATAATTCTGTTTTTTTATGTTTTTGTTGCCAAGTTGTATTCATCGTCTTTTGATATTTTAGTCATCTATCTTAAATTACTGAAGATGATGTCAAAAAGTCCTCTGGGAAAGTTTCTCAATCCAGTATTTAGGATGTAATAAATCAAATGGATTAGGTGTGAACATGAGCTTTTGTTGCTGTTTCATTATTATTTTTATTTTTTTTAAATTACAGTTACTATCAAAATTATACTCAACTTTCAGCGTTTATTTATGTGTGTTTAAATTCAGCTCAAATGTGCTTTATTACTTCAAAAGGGAAATTAAATCTTGTCATTCTCCTTATAATATTGCCTCAGAAAACAGGAATCCCAGGGAAGGGAATTTTCCCGAGGTTCAATATTCTAGGATACCGAAATCTGCATTCCCTGCTTAGTTTGAGAAATAATGTGTTTAGAATGATGGAAGTTTCCCCACATAATCATACATATTTTCTGTGATTATGTATGAATTTAATTTCCAAAAAGGTAAAAAAAAAATGGTGGCAAAAGTCCTTCAAATTGTAATGCATCCAACACCGGAGGCAAAAAACCTTGGAATAAAAATAAGCTTGCAGAGCTACTCAAACTTGCAGCCACCTTATTAAGCAACGCAATTCTACTTTTTCAGTTTAAGTTCTTTGGTAATTAGCTGCATTTGATACATTTTGCATCAAAGGGGGACCCATCAAGAGAAATTTTAAACCATTGCTTTAATGTATAGGAAAAAACTAACTAACTAATTTGTTGCTGGGCAGAAGATTAGTGTCTGTATATTACAAAAAGGTTTTCTTAAAAAGAATTAATGATAAGATGGCAAAACCTTGCAACAGTTTTTTTAAGATGAATAAGAAAAATACATTATTGAACATTCTCCCCTGTGTTATTAGACGGGCATTAGAGATAATATCACGCACAATACTCAGCTGAAGAACAATTACAGAATGCGACAGAAGAATTTCCCTCTGGGATCGATAAACTGTTCTGATAGCGATGATATTAATCAGGAACATTTTCAGGTTTTAACAGTTGGATGTATTAAGCGGTTCAGTCAATCTGTACAAACACAGCTTCTCACATCACTGCTCTGCATCAGCTTATCTGGAAATAATGGATGGGCTATTCACCAGCACTCAGTAATGGCATAGCTAAATACCATGTAGATAGTAAACAGAAATTTAAATGAACACAACGCATTAGTGCCCGCTGATGATTAATAGCAGCCTCTCATTATCAGTATGAAGTAGCAGTTAGTGGTATCATCTGTTGACTGTTTTCAACTAATTGGTTGGTCTGTAAAAGGGCAGTATTCAAAGTTGTGTGTTTTACAGAACACAATGGGATGGATTCAAATGGTTTTGTTTCTCAATATCATAAACACTGAGATTGGTGTTTGAGAAACATCCTTTTTATGATCGACTTGAGCTTTCGTAGTTCCTGGATTATTAATGAAAATTTTAAGCAGTTTCCTCTTATGAATGGTGACAGTTTAATTGAGCTGGTTGAAACCTGGATACTCTTGGGTTTTTCAGGATTCCAAACACACATGTAATATGGTTTTAGAGCCCAATGAACTCATAATGAGCCTCTGGACTAACCCAGGCCTCACTTTATTATTAATTAAATGATTGAGTAGTTAACATGGGGGTTACATGCGTTAACATGAGTAGATATATGTAGATGGGAATTTTAGTCAGGATTTTAATCTTCCAGTGCTGATGTGCTGCTTGGCAAGGCAGTAAATCTCACACTGACCATCTCTAGATGTCTGTATGAGTGGAAAGTGCAATTTACGTTAAGTTTGGTTACCATTTTTTTTTATTCTAGAACCTAGTTTGCCAGGGAATCAGGACATCTAAACAGACTCCACCTTTTCTAAAAATAATGATCAAATGTTAAGTCATAACCATGCAAGAAATGTGCGAAAAGCATAATTATCAAATTTTCAGTGATACCATTTGTGCATGTGTATGAGCCTGTTTGTTTAAACAAGACTCTGCATTTCATCAGGATTCTTGTTTTTAATGATTGTAGAAATGCTGTGTTTTTTTACTAATTCTTCACTGAAGAAGCTGCCATAAGGGGTCTGTAGAAAACCATCAGTTTAATACTTATTCCCATAAAACTTCTCATACTGCTTAAAAAAACAGTTTCCTTTTAAAATAAACATGTCCTTATTTTAGCCAAGATATAAATTAGTTCCTAAATGGAGTTTACAATTTTTTTTTTTAAATGTTCTGTTGGAAAGAAAATGCACAAGGACAACTGCACTTTAAATGTGAGTTTAATTGATATTTATAAAAGCTTTCTCATGTTCAAAACTGGGGTTCTCTATTAAAAATTGAAATGTCTTATCTTATGTTTCTTGTTGAAACAGTAAAATAATGAAACTATCTCATTAAAATCCTTTCCTGGTCACACATACACACGTACAGTAAGGTGTCTGCCTCTGAGGAAAAGCTGGCATTGAAACAGGCAGCTCATACAGACTCTAAAGTACATCATTGGTCTGAGGTGGAAAAAGGGCATCACAGTAGGGAGATTTACTGCCAGCTCAATGGCTGGGCAGACACCAACGAGCTTACTGCCTGCAAATGACTCAGCCCAACACTTCTTGGGTTATTTCAAAGTTTTTCAAGTTCACAAAGGTATTGGTTGCTACAAAGGCTTTCTGAAAACTTCAAGCATGAGTTATGATTCACATCAGAGGTGTAGGTTTGTCACCTTTGCATTCAGAACTTCCTCAAACTGCATTTTTCTTTTAGGAGAACTAAGAATAAAATAACAAGGATTTGATAATTCATCTTGAGATTAAAACCTGGCTTTTATGATGAGCAGATACAGTGCCCTTAGGTACAGTTGTTCATTTCAGTCCACGCTCCATTACTTTCTCTGTATGCAACTGACGTTTGTATAAATATTTATTCATGGAATCTTTATGCATGACTAACCACTTCAGATATTTTTAATAGTAACTGTAAATACTTTCCTAAAACAATAACAAAAGTGGTTGATTATGGACACGACTTACTTGAGTGTGGCTCTTAACTGGTTTAGTAGCAGCTTAAATACAGAACAGCTGGAATCATTAAAAGACCGAAGCCTGAGGACAAATATAAAACACTAGAATGCTTTGCTTAATTTTCCCTTAAAATTCCCTTTAGACCTTACAAAATTGACAGCAGCCTAAATTCTTTGCAGGCAGAACTAA